CGAAGGACCATATCCTCAGCACGAGCCAGACACAATCCTCATCCTGCAATCTCTTGCCCCCTCGGAGATTCCAGTCTCTGTCTTCAAGAGAGCAATTATACACATCTAGATGTGTATAAGAGACAGCTCTCTCTCTCTCTCTCACACACACACACACACACACACACACACACACACACACGCACACACAAACAAAAAAAAACAAAAACAAGCAGAAGTGTGGCTGGCGATGTATATTTTTATGTTCTTGCAGACTAGCAGTAGATTCATTCGAGTTTGCTCATCCTATCCATCGAAGTACCATGAGGCCAGCCACGAGGTTGGAGACTTACATGCTCTCTCTCTCTCTCTCTCTCTCTCTCTCTCTCTCTCTCTCTCTCTCTCTCTCCACATCACAGTGCCCTCCACCAGAATGGAACTGCCTCCTGGCAAACTTAACCCCGTGGGCAGGTTCACTCTGGCCGTCGGTCCCAGCCGTCTGTCCCACGGAAGGGTCTGACGGCCAGAAACGCAATTTTTTAACCCCCACGGTTTTTGTTTTGTTTCTTGAATAATCAAAAAAATAAAAAAATACACCTTTCTCGGCCTTTTGGCTAAGATCAAGTGTAGTATCTGTTCTGATCAGTTTAATATCTGATCCCTGGTCCATCGGGCCACTACGATGTTAAATTTTTTTTTTGGGCTATGGAGGGGTCACAGGGGTAGGCTTGCCTGCTCGATCCCTCCAGCGTTGCCTCTGTATTGCAGTGCAGCAGAGTGCGGCGCAGTCCTCAAAAAAACTTAAAAATAAATAAATAAATAAATAAAATTAAAAAAAAATCGGGAAAAGCCGTAAGACCTCCGAAACGTTTTTATCCATTTCCCCCCAAACTGGGGAAAAAGTGCCAGAGGTCCGAAATGATCTTTTGGGGCCCACATTCACCGTGTAGTGCATAAAAACTACACGGTGTGACAGCGGAGAGCGGGAAATGTACATAGGCAAAATATTGTCTGTGCCATGGCGCCGCGCCATGCGTCACGGTGGTCCTATCATTGTAAAAATTGTGCAGCAAGTGAGGGTGCAGCCAATCTTCGCAGGAGGCCATATAGAGTGCTTCCTTTGGTCTCCGCAGGCCAAAGAAAGGGCCATCCCATGAAAAAACAAATATCCCCACCTTTGGCCCAGAGGCATTTCCTGAGCAATGATTCCAGTAGGCCAGAATCAGACTAAGTCTCTGAGAAAAAAAGAAGAAAACAAAGAAAAACATGAGCTTTTCTGCAACGGCGGATTCGAACTCTCGCCTTTGTGATCCCTTGACTTTCGGCCTCCCTGCACTACTCTCCACATGCAGAGAAGACAAAAAAAAGGCAATGTATCTGTTCACGTTCCAGCGGAAGAGTCAGTATCTTTTTGCACATTCCGAGACTGAGAGATCCCACACGCCTCACTACAGTTACTGAGGTTCATACTCCACATACCAGAGGTGGGGAAGAAAATCAATAGTGTTCTTCAGCCTCATAACTTTTCACGACAAAACAAAAGAAGGACAGACTATTCTACTTTCCGCTCCCCTCAGGGGGACACAGAGAGAGAGACGAGAAGGAATCTTCCTGCGTTCTGGCAGAGGATTCATTCTCTTTTCGTATTTGAAAACGGTCCGAGAGAGAGAAAGAGAGAGTGAGAGGGAGAGACAGAGAAAGAGAGTGAAAGAGAGCGGGCGAGAACA